TAATTTTGTGTAATAAAGGTAGCCTTTTAAGTTTTTGTCTCGGTCTTAGAATTAAGAATTTAGATCCTAAACTCTAGGATTAAATAAATTCTTAATACCAAAAGTCTGACGGTCGGTGTAAAAGCATAACAAACAAATACACAAACGTTTACTTTTATATAACATTAAAGATTTTGTAACTGGCCGAAATAATTCCTTTAATGGCATTTTAAGTGCGTGTCACCTTAAACACGGTAAAGTGCCTTAGATTATTTCCGTTAACCCCATCATTTAATGGGATTGCAATCTTAGTATTATAACCGACAGAGAGTGTAAGGGTTAAGTAGGTGTACTTAGGTAGAAGGCCTTCTATTTGGAACAGCTTTGTCGAAAAAACAATAACTTTTGTTAAAGCTTTTTACATAGGAACCTTATATGGTACATGAGTGTATAGTAACCACAATATTTGGAACTTCCATGTAATTGTCTAAGGACCGAAGAACCATGAAGGTGTTCAATCTGCCTTGCTTCTTTTACCATCTTCTTAGCGAAGAAAAATTGCAATATTATAAAAACTGTGAACCCCATTGCACACCAGTTAGGTCAAAGTTCAAGTATTCTTTGACATTGACATAAAATTGGACGAAGATGAATTAACGTGACAACCAAATGGCTATGTAACTTCTGTAGACGATCTAATATAAAAGTTTTTGTCCCAATAACAGATGGTTGAGATTGGCGATCCTCAGACATGTTATATTGCCAATAGCATAGATGATAAATTCGCAGCGATATAGGCAAAGTTCTTGGAAGAGCCTAGAGCCTGTTGAACATGACCTTCACTGGTTGTATTTTTATTGGCGGTCAAGCTATAGATCCTAGCTACACAGGAGTTGCAGCGGTGGAAACGAGAGGTGGGAATAGTTCAGTGGAGCCTGTTGCTATTATTTTGAAATAGAGAGCCCTCTGCGCTCACTTCTGAAAAGTTGTGAAGCAGATAGATTTGTCCGCGGACAACAAAATGTAGAGAATAAAAATAACATAGTGTTAGGGTACTACTTAGGCTATTTTTTACTTTACTAAGCACTAAAAATATATCTATCACGCATAAATTAGTAGAGAGTACAGAACAATACGTAATTTTCTAGAATCCTAGCTCTATCAGTTTTACTCTACTATGCATTGGAGTAAGGCAACGTGCTTCTTTCTAAAACGATCCCAGAATTTCATATTAGATGAAATTAGAGATGTGTGAGAGACACACAGACGTTACTGCTTCTTTTTATGGCAATAGAAAAATTATCAACACAGTATCCGGTGAATGGCGGGCGTCAGATATCACATGTTTGTTGGGAGATAAATCAATAGAATTCCCATTAGTATTGTTATTTTTAGGGGAGGCGGTTTCATTACATAAAATGGCTGACGATAACGATATGTTGTAATATCATACGGTAACTAGATAGGTCATAAATAATATCGATACAACAATGGTGATAACTGGCAAAATACTAGTGCAAAAATGCGTCCACGTGCCAATATATCTAATATAGGTAGGATACTTGTACAATATTTATATTCATGTATTTATTTGCACATATAGGTACATTATGTATGGGACATGAAGAACTCTTGGATGTTGATAAGACAAAAAAGGTTTCGGAAAAATCAGTATTTTTCTTGGCGGAACGCGATAAAGCTTTTTTTAATCGAAAGTGATACAATAGCGCTGAAAAAAGTATGATTTTAGACAAACGTTCCCAAGAAAAAACAAGACCCAACAAAAACTAAACTAACCGTAAAAGGTAGTAGGTATGATACTTACTAATTTATTGTAGCTTTTTTGCAGAAAATAATTTACTTTCATTACTTTTAATTGGAAAAAAAAAACTAATTTTCAAAAGGAAGGCAGCAATTCAATTTCAAATCCACTAGGATGCTTTAACAATCCAGCTGGAAAACTCACAATTCTTATTTTCCCCTTGGCAAGTGACGTGGAAGATTAGAGAAATAAATGAAATGTGTGGTCAATGAAATGCGAATACATTGACGAACTGATAGTATGTATTACTATACATACAGGGTGTCCCGAAAAATAGTGTCGAGTCAATAGCATCATTAAGACTACCCAAATCACCGCGACTTTTGATAGTTTTGAGTTATATTGTTTTTCTAACATACAGGATTTTTTGGGACATACAGGATCTTTCGGGACATCCTGTATTTACAGCCATACATGGGTAAAGGAGGAAAATAAGAAAATAATACAACAAAAGTTTATTATTATTATTTTATGCACCAAATTATCCCAAGGTCGCGGAGTAATAATAATAATACTATTTTCTGATGCCAAAGTAGGTTTTTTATGAAGATAGTTTTCCGGATTTCCGGGTTTCCGTACAAATTAACTTGTTTACTCTACGGTGTTTTATGGAGCAGTGATTTTACGATGTAGATTGTAGATGTTGTTTCTAGTAAAAGTGTGTTGTGTATCTGATGAGGAAAGTTTATTTCCAAGGTCATGGTTAGATATTTGGTAAGGGTCACTTTGTAAACTTACTTCCTACCTTTTACTTAAATTACTTTTGTGCTTTACGAAACTGTCCAAAATAATAAATTAAGGTAGGGTTCCAAAAACGGTTATTCTCACTCTTCCTTCTACTATGGGCTGTGAGAAAAAGTTCATTTATAAAGCTCGTATGTAATCTGCACCTAAGAGTGGATTTTTCCAAATTTTCCTACGATATGAAAGATCTTTTAGTGGTCTCTGTTCTTTGGAGAGCTTCTTTCCCGAAAATTGGTATCTCTACCCTACAATCTTCTTCTGCCTCGCCTTAACCCATTACGTAGTTGGCTTTCCTAATAATGCACCGCCATTTTATTCTATCTTGAACGTCTTATTCATGGAGTCCCAATCATCATCATCATCATCTCAGCCATAGGACGTCCACTGCTGAACATAGGCCTCCCCCAATGCTTTCCATGTTATCCGGTTGGTAGCAGCTTGCGGGCTTTCCTGCTACCTTTATGATGTCGTCGGTCCACCTTGTGGGTGGACGTCCCACGCTGCGTTTATTCCCAAAGGAGTCCCAATACTGCTATCTATTATAATCTCTACTCTACCTACAATGCTTTGTCAAAACTTGGAACAACTACTAAAGTTTCTTTTTATGCATGACAAGGCAGGTATTTGACCGCAATCGCACCTGGTGATAAGTGAGATGCATTCTAGGATAGTACACATCTGTCCTGTAAGTGCCTATTCACTCTCGCCTTGAAAAGGTGATTTCTTATTAACAACAGAAGGACAATCAACAACAAGAGTTATGTTAGTAAAAGTTATTACTTACTACGGTTTATCGAAGTGCCCTAAATGTTATAATATGAATTACCAGTAAACAGTGGCTCGTTAATTGAGTGGCGACCATACAGTTAATCTACACTCAGCAGGCAATAAAATACGCCGTAAATGAGAAGTAACAATAAGTGGATCTAGTAAAGTAGAGTACGATACGATACTTTACTATCCTATTTATTATAGTTAAGCAAATAAAGCTTAGTTAGAAACTTGAAGAGGCTTTCATTAAACTTTGAGAAGTTAAATCACATCTCGCGATTAATAACATCTAAACTAAAGTTAAACTACCTAATTTTATTATCCCTCAGACTATCAAAACGAAGGGTAACTTACGAAAACAAGTGGTTCATTTATTCTAAGTGCGAATAATAAAATTTTAGGCGTGAAAGTTACTTTTTCAATGATAACAACAGATACAGTTACGAGTTAGTAAGTTGCAAACCTATTCTGGGCCTCGATTACGCTAAAAATTTTAATTTTCAACGTGGCCCGGACTACGAACGAACATCAGCTGTTTTGACAAATGCGTATCGCGGTGTCGTTTTGACAGCTAGTTAAAACGAAGCATAGACGTAAACGTAAAGCTAAATATCTCATGTGACAATGAAAATACTATATAGGAAGGTACGTCCATTACCGTGATACCGAATTTGCACCTCAGCTGGAATGAAAAACGGAGCGTAACTGGAGAAGAAGCGCGTATGTATTGGAGACGTTAAAATTAGCGTAATCGGGGCACTGGTTGGTGAACTTTTCATTCGGCAAATTCGATGGTATCATGATGTCTCTAGCTTAGCATTAAGCTGACTGTACACAACTGTTTCACGAGATGAAATGTCTACTTATAAGCCTACTCGTATAACGATTAGGTAAATTTTCTACAGCTTTTGATAACGGCATTAGGCACTTCGTTTAAGAATTGATAAGCTTTGTCTGTAGTGGCAATAATTTGTGTTTATCTAAATAAAACAAGCTATAAGCAATTTATTCCTAACGGATTAAGACATCAAGATAAATTGTCTAGTCTAGGTTCTAGACCTAGACACAATTCAAAGTGCTTTCCTAGTTTAAATAAGATAGCGTCACAAAACTTTAGATAAAGGATGTGGAGTTTGGTATTAACTTCTTACGTTTATTTATATCGTACTTACTAGTTTGCTCGTGGATTTGTCCACATGTGTTTTCTAAACTCAACATAACTTGTCAAATGATGGGTTTTTGGTGATATAACAACGTGATCAAACTATTTCATCCGGCCCCGTCATCCTGCTCAGTTTACGGGGCAGTTGAAATAATTTTCGAAACCAGTAGCGCCAAATCCGTCGTTTATAGGGGATAAGGGTAAGCAGTTCTCAATCATCATCATCATCATCATCATTTCAGCCATAGGACGTCCACTGCTGAACATAGGCCTCCCCTAATGCTTTCCACGTTGATCGATTGGTAGCGGCCTGCGGCCTGCGTCCAGCAGTTCTGTTTAAGCTTAATGACGTCCACAAAGGCCTCCCCCAAGAATTTCCACAACACACAACACAACACCTATAACAACCTGTTGTACCTATAAATAAATAAATAAATAAACACAGCCGATCCTGCGCTGCCCGCATCTAGTAGGAAAATCCTTGTATCAAGTTCTTCTGTACCTATTACTATTATGACTGACCTTCTGGTAGAGGAAGGGCCTGGTAAGCGCCAAGTACCGCTCCAGCGCCATCGTGACCGCGATGCAGACGCTGCCGATGCCGAACACTCGCAGCACCACTCTCGCTGCACAGTACACCTGGGTTGAGAGATGCTTTAAGTAATTGTAAATTCTAATGCAGTTGTAATAGGTATAATGTATCTATATAATCTATCTATCTATAAAAATAAAAATGAATTGATGTTCGTTAGAACGGCTGGGCCGATTGAGCTGATTTTGGTGTTAAAATGTTTGTCGTAGTCCAGGGTAGGTTTAAACGGTGAGCAAATAAGGAAAGATTTGCTTATTTATTGCCTTTAAGGCGGAACAGAGTTCGCCGGGTCAGCTAGTTTTGCAATAAAAATGTAAATCATGTTTAGTCTGATGTCTGAAGCTCTATCCACTGTGCGGTTACAACGTCCAAAATATCAGTAGGAATCTACTTAGGCATGTGCTAATTTTAAACTGTAAGCCTAGGCGTAGACCACCGACTTTGAGTCGGCCGATAGTTGAGTCGGGCTGTTAATCAGTATGGAGATGTATGGAAGTGCGCATTACACCGATTTGGTATCGGCCGATTCTTCATACAAATTAAAATCGGGCGCAACTATCGGCCAACTAAAAGTCGGTGGTCTGCGCCTGGGCTAAATACTACACAAAGTACCTACAGCAACAATCCTTTGGCAGTGACGTCAAGGAACGCTATAATAAAGCTTGAATCGCCGCTTTTTCATCCGGCCACTGCCATCTTTCTAGGGTCGTCCTTCCATCGTGCAGGCAGGGGAGCACCCTACTCTACTTTTACCGAGTCACTATCTCCATTCTGAATTCTTTAGTTAGGTAGTAGGTACAGTCAGCCTCAAATAGTTTGTGACACACAAAGTAGCCAATATCGTCGACGTCTTGAAAGTGGTTTTTGTATTGACCACTTTGGGTGTCACGAACTATTTGACGCTGACTGTACAGAAAAATATATAAATACCTGCGTGTTGCGAGCGCCGGGCACGTGCTCTGCTACCACCATCGCGCACATCATGCCCATCTGCGGAACAATACGGTGTCATTACTGGAATTACCTATTCTTTTAAACCATTTTGAACGGTACCTATCTCTAGTTTTAATTTATTGTGAATGCGAACTAAGCCATTTGTTGTTGATGTTTTTTGGTCTGTGATTTTCTCTGAAATAATTTGCTCTTGATTTGAGACCTCGGGATGATTAATTGGACGAACGGAGGGAAAAACAATGTCACTCACAGACTCACAGTTAATGTTTCTTGTACTAATGTATGGTTTTCCCTTATTTCCCATCTCAAAACTTAAGCATTAGATGTGTCGTATTATAAATTACAATCATACTGGATAATTCAGTTTTTATTTAAGTCTATCCTAGCTTGATATTTGTAAATACCGTAAAATAGAAAGATCAATGAAGACAAATGATTCTTAAATAGCTGTCAAGTACTCACCAAAGCCACCAAGTCGTTAGCAGCAAGCGAAGTCAGCAACAGCAGATGTTTTCTGTTCCTCACTCTCCTTTCGCCCCATCTTAGAGCAATGATAGCTGTCGCATTCCCGAATATACCGATTGCATACACCACCTTTATCACCGTCATGAACATTCTAGCATCATGTCTGTGTGGTACCGTGGTGTTACTAGGTGTTGTTATGTTGATATCGTCGTCAGTGAATAAAGGAGCAAGTGTCGATACCACGTCCATGTTGATGGGTTTTTTGTATCAGTTTGAAGTCATTTGAAGTCAACTCGTGTTGGAATCGATATGGCGTTCGACCGTCACATCTTCGAGTGGCTGCAACAAGCAAGAATAATGAGTGAGTTTAAGGTGGGATTAGTATTTATTATCTTTGTTATAGCAATTATTGCGCATAAAGGATAAGAAAGAGTACCTATTTGGCTCTAAATCAAGTGGATTAACCCCTGCTAGGGTTGCCAACTCTTGAAAGGACCAACCCGGGAGAATTGTGGGGGGGGGGGGGGGGGGGGGGGGGGGGGGGGCTTGCTCCATAGTTGCTCCATCACGCTGAATACGCGCTCGAATGAAGCATTAATAGAGACAGGAATGGAAAGAACAAACGTGACCATTTTTTTTAATTCAGGACAGGGATTTCTGTCTTTCGATTTCGTAAAGAAGTCAACCCAGCGTAAATCCACTCGATTTTCTTCAATAAGATGTGGTTGCTCTTCACGCAAAAGTCCAAACTCATCGTACAATTTGTCACTATCTATGTCAATATTTAATAATTCCTGGAGTTTAGTAATGCTGGTCCATGTGATTGGTTCTTTTAAAGATAAAATTTATAAACAAGTACGAGCAGCAATGGATTCATTTCATTTTTAGAAATACCGGAGAAAATATTGCTCTCCGGGAGGTCGGGAGGTTAACCATTATTTCCGGAGTCTCCCGGGCAATCCGGGAGGGTTGGGAACCCTACCTGTAGCTAATCTAAAATAATTATAGGTACCTATTATACCTATGCTTGTTACCACAGCGACAGGTTCATACAATGAAGATCAATCATTTTTTCCGCACTAACTACTATGGTTTTAGATTATAATTACTTTTCCTCCAGTACAGTATCTCTATCCTTGTTTAAAATTAGATTTTAGGGCAATACTTGTCAACTGAGTCGAATCACGTACTTTATCAGAAGGTAAACATGCTAATGTAGGTACTATTTATTTCTTGCCGAAGTTACTCGTAAGCTAACGATTTGTTTAATACACACATCAATTGTTTAAATAGACAGATATTATCACATCATCAGTTGTGTATAATCACAATGTGCATCATGGTGGTGTCATCTACTCAATTTTATTTCAATAAAATCAAACAGTCAACCTGACTGATCTCTATTTATGAAATAAATAGATGTTATTGACAGTTTCCTTTAACTCTGTCAAGTTACTTTGATTTCACCATGTCTGTGACATAATAGGCATATCCCTTTAGAATCTCGACTCACATTTATGTATAGTCTGCTGCAAAAATGTGAAGACTATAATGCAATAGTATTGTCCTCAGTGCAGTGGAATAAAATATATCGTGTTCATACGCGCATTACTTTTAGACATTACGGACATAGTATTTTTTATCATCATCATTTCAGCCATAGGATGTCCACTGCTGAACCTACCCATATGTTCAATGTCTCCCCTAATGATAATCCACAATGGCCGGTTGGTGGCGGCCTGCATGAAACGCCTTCCTGCTACTTTTATGAGCTGGTCATCGGTCCACCTTGTGGGTGGACGTCTTGCGCTGCGCTTTCCGGTACGTATAGTATTTTTGAGAGTAGGTAATGTCCAGAACATGGGACTGTAGGCTGGTTAGCCGTGTCAGTTACCGTGGGAAGAGGTCGCTATAAGGACCTGCGCACTCCCCAAGTCGATAACTTTGGAAACTTTGGGCCAGGGACCTAAACACCATCTTAGTTAAATTAGATAAGTTTACAGATTTACTCGTAATAATATTAAGAAGGCAATAATTAAGATGTGAATTATTAAGACTTGCATTTGTTCGTGTCAACAATCTAGATTTTAGGACTCTGACCCCGCTAGTCGCTCTCGGTCGATTCCGACCCACAAGGATGTATTTCTTGTATCCGATTGTACTCATTAAGTGTTCAACTATCTAATTGAATTTATCCGTTTACAACGTGGATTTACTTGGGACCTGTTTTGCCGGTCGTGAGTACTGATAGAGCTATACCTAGTACACTTATAATAGCGACCTTATTACAACTAGATAAGATTCCACAGTGTTTACCTTAATGAATCCTGTAGTTCAATATAAAAATTGCTTTATGTATAGGTAATTTACCAAATTTTAGTTGAGACTTAATATTCATTATTTTCTGAAAGTCATGATGATTCCGTGCTTCAGAATTTAAGACAAATCCTCTTCTAGTAAATTAGAGAGAGTCGTGCTGGTAGAGCTCAAATGACTGAACGATATTCATATTCATACCTAGTTTGATACTGTTCGAAAGGAAGAATAGAGCTTGCCCGTAGTGCTACTCGTATAATGGTGTCGATGGATGGCAAGTTGGCAACTTTAGAATAAATAGTTTGTTTTTAAATAATTAACTTTTAAAAAAAATAAAACCGACTTCAAATGCGTGAACACAAAAAAAACTAAAAATTAAAAATATTGCGTATAAAAAAGTCCATCCCCAATTTTCCACCCTTGGGGGTGAAATATTTTCTTCAAATTCGCATGAAACCACCCTTTTGATAATACCTATTCAACAAAAAAATAATCGTTCAAATTGATTTATAATCGGCGGAGATATTGCGTATAAAAAAGTTCATCCCCAATTTTCCACCCTTGGGGGTTGTTTTTTCTATTACTAAATTTAAATGGGACCACCCTTGAGGTATCCCAACTAATATTATAAATGCAAAAGTAACTCTGTCTGTCTGTCTGTCTGTCTGTCTGTCTGTCTGTCTGTCTGTCTGTCTGTCTGTCTGTTACGTTTTCCCGCTTAAACCTCGCAACCGATTTTGATGAAATTTGGCATAGAGATAGTTTGAGTCCCGGGAAAGAACATAGGATAGTTTTTATCCCGGTTTTTGAAACAGGGACGCGCGCGATAAAGTTTTTCTGTGACAGACAAAATTCCACGCGGGCGAAGCCGCGGGCGGAAAGCTTACCTATACGCCGAAAAAAGATTTGTTCAAATCGGTTCATAATTGGCGGAGTTATCGCGTAACAAACATAGAAAAAAAAACATACGGGTCGAATTGAGAAACTCCTTTTTTGAAGTCGGTTGAAAAAACCACATTAATTTGTTTCTTTTTTTCTTAATCATCATTAAACCGTGCTAATTCATGTCCGTTTGGATATCGTACACAATCAAATTAAATAAGGTCAGATTATGGTTTTTAATTATGCAAATCGGTTTGTTTAGTGTAAACCTCAAGTGGTTATTTTAATACCGTATTATCGTAATTGCTGATATTAGTCCTTGACCAGGATTCATATTGTCTTCTTTGGCGCCATTTTGGTTAAACTGTCAAAGATTGAAAGATTCAGTAACATTTTTATGGTACATTTTAAATTAGACAGCTTCTTGCAGTCAGCGTTTCTTATTAGATATTGGACGGTAGTTACAGTTTTTAAGGGCAAAAATGATAATGTCTTAGAGTCAGCGTATTATAGATACTGTGCGAAATTTTGGCGCTCCTTACCATCTGGCGCCACTATTTTCGCGTGGAAAACTTTACCTACCTTACAAACTGCGCGACTCTATTATGAGTTTACTAACAGCACTACCCAGGGCTGCTTAAAGGATGTAGGTAGGTATATGTGCTTCCCGAACTCATAACTGAGGTGGCATCTACTAGAAACCAGACATACCTACCATAATAAGTGAGTCGCGCAAGGGTGAGCGCCAAATGGCACGTTAGTAATTAGTAATTAAAAGACGCAAATGTAGTAATTACAAATATTTCTGATTTATTTATTTAAAATAGGTACAAACAGATCACTGTCCATTACATAGCCATAAAATTAAAACAATGTTAAAAAGTAAAGTAAATAGAGATCCAAAATTATTAATTAAGAGATTAAAAAAACCTTAGAAAAAAAAAGGATATTATAACGGGGTTGAGTAGGTACTTATATGAAGGACTTTTAATTTCCAAACGTAATGTTTACTAAGGGTTAAATATTTTTTTCCATTTTTTATACCTACCTACTGCCATGGTAAATATGTATCCTTGTTTTAATAAATAACTCTATGTTATAAACAGTGGATTATCCCATAATGCCCATAGCAACGAACTCATCTAATGAAAGTTTCCGATATCCTGTAGGTATTTTCTCCCGACCTTCACTTGACCGCTGAAACAAAAAGGTTGTTTCCTGGACGAAGGTAAACAGAAACCGTCATGGGGCCCGTAAAGCTTAATCAGAACTAAATAAGACTTCAAAGCTTTTTAATCGACTTATAAAGGTGTTTGGCGGAGCTTTCTTCTACCAAGGATAAGCTTTATTTTGGGAATTAAATAGATTAATTCCCGTTTTCACCATTATAGGGGCACTTAAAAACTAGGGATTGATGGGTAAAACAGGCATAAGTCACCTGACCTTGAAGTTCGGTACGATTTTAATCAACAAAGATAATAACATCAGTAACTAATCAACACGGCCTTTGAGGTAACCCTCAATGTTTAATTATTTCCAAAGAATCTTATTATGAAAAAATTAAAGCTCTTATGAAGCCTTTATAATGCCTTTGTATAATATTTTGCCCTATCGAAAACGATCCAGATAAAAAGCTGCCCTAAAAACGTGGGAATAACAAACTTAATATTGCCGGCACCTTTCGCATATAACCTTAATCGTTTATTAATATAATCCGCTATAATAACAGATATAGGTGATAATGAAGTTATACGTCGGCTGTAGTGCTGATAATATTTTGATAACGGCTCTACAGCGAGGTAAGCTCCTGAAAGTGCTAAGTAAATGAAATCGACTACTTTATTTGACTCAGAAGTACTTATTAAGTAGGTAATACAGTGTGGGCTTTGGTCTTAAGCTTTATTGCGTTAAGCTCAAGTTACACATCGTAAGTCCGCATTATGAAACAACTCTCAAGTAGGATGTATTAAGTCTTAAGAAAAGTTTCAGCAAAACTACAATTGGTCAAGATTTTTTTTATTATCTCTACAGCTATGAGCATCATTTCAGAGACGTACCTACTATATTCAGAGAGGCGATTAAGAATTTTAATTTGCATAATTTAATTAAAGGAATCTATTTTGTAGATAACGACATCGATTTTAAGCAGAGTCAAAAAATACTATTCAGTTACATTTTCTTTGATTACGATTGGCTATTCTCTCGATTATTCCTGCCTGTCATCCCAAATATTACGAGATTTATTCGATTCGATTCATTTAATAAGCATTCTAATACGTTATGAATGACACCGTATGAGATGTAAGGGCTTGTTCACACGGAGACATCCCGTTTTTTCCAGTTATTGTTTTCTACAGGATCCCGGTTACTTATTTTTCGTTAGTATTCGTATTTTAGAAATTAACGTTCACACGAACAATACCAACATCCCGTTTACATTACAGTAGAATACATTTGTCACCAACCCCTACTCTTCCCACGGGTGTCGTAAGAGGCGACTTAGGAACTACACATCAAACGAGAACGGGCAGCAGCGCTCTCTGAAAAACATCAATCTTTTCAACTGCGATCTCCAACCCGCCAAGCGTGGGGATGATGGCAAAACCCTCCACTATAGTGGAGGAAGCTCATAGTCCAGTAGTGGACTGTAAATGGCTGTTGATGATGATGAACATCCCATTTACAGTGAGAATATTCACACGACAGTCTATTCTGTCTGAATCCTAGAACGAGCTCTAACTCGAGTGCGGACCCTGTATAGATTTGTTTGTAATTCGAATCCCCACGAATGCTCTTGCACTTGTAAAAGGAAGAACAAAACTGATAACATGAACTTAGTGATAGCCTTATCACTAACTTAATAAGCGCCCTATTATTTAAACTCACAAGTGTGTACTTGCTAATAACTCGTTAGTTAACAGTAAATATGTAAATATTTAATTATCTTTAAGATTTTCCTTAAATTAATAGAAGAGATAGCTAGAGCTACCCACACGTGACAATTCTAAAAGAATAATTGTAGAACTAAAATAACACTTCTGTTGAATTTATGTATTATGCTTATGTAAATACTACGTAAATCTACAGCTACTAATAAAAAACAGAAAGTAATTTTTATATGTGTTATTTTTTTCATGCATAAAACCGGTGAACCAATTTTGATAAATTTCAGTATCTATAACCATAAATTGGACCTCGCAGAAGCACATTCTACCTTTTTGTAAGCTGGAATAAAAACATATTTTACGGGCGTTTTACGGCCGATACAAACCCAAAGGGTGCAATCGTTCAAGCCGAGTAGGTAATTTCAGTCTTATTCAAAATCAAATGCCAAAAAATATTGGCCGTCTTAAATCTGCTAAAAAAAAAACAAAATAATTTATTTGTGTTCATAGGTTAAATTAAAAATAAATGCTTATCGTAATTCTGAAAGTTTAGATTTTAAGTTTTTTTTATGTCCCAAATAAATAAATAAACTGTGATGCTTAAAGTATTTAAAATGCGCTATGAAACAACCGCTTAATAATTTATTTATATGATTTTAAAATTAGCTTAGCATGTTCAAAATTCATTCACTAGATGCCACGGATTTGTATTATTCAACGAAACAACGAAAATGTGTCGCAAGTTAATTTGAAATTCTAAACTCAACGTGGATTTTACTTTACAGCAGAAGGGTGAATATTTTCAGGCATAGTTTTATCCTGTTTTGGCGTCTTTATTCTTTGATTCTAGAATCTACCAAGAATCTAGATTATAGTTTAAAATTGTATACGACCAGAACTTTTTTTAACGCAGAATGCCATGTATGCTGAAACTACTCAAAAACTCCACAAGAAATTAACATTTAGTTTAACTAGAGGGATCCTTACCTATTATTTTGTGTAATAAAAATTAGTATAACTTTATTTTTAACAATTAATAGTAGGTACGTACCTACTCTTGATTTTAGCAAAAGAGTGACCAAGACAAGACATAGAGGATTCACGATTAATTCTCTAAGAGACAAGATGACAAAAAATCACGACAAGATTTATTTTCGTTAAATGGTTTAGTTTCTTTATAAAATTACTAGCTTTCCGCCCGCGGCTTCGCCCGCGTGGAATTTTGTCTGTCACAGAAAAACTTTATCGCGCGCGTCCCTGTTTCAAAAACCGGGATAAAAACTATCCTATGTTCTTTCCCGGGACTCAAACTATCTCTATGCCAAATTTCATCAAAATCGGTTGCGAGGTTTAAGCGGGAAAGCGTAACAGACAGACAGACAGACAGACAGACAGACAGAGTTACTTTCGCATTTATAATATTAGTTGGGATGTAAGTTGTTTAAAGCTTCATAAAAAACTCATAAAACTCATTTATTTTTGCAAATGGGTTTTAAAAAGCGCTTTTACACGTCCCAATATTAACCCTACCACTGCTTCGGGACAATAAATGGGCCTGTGCTGCCGGCTTCTTATTATGGTTTAAAATCTTGAATCACCTAGTTGAAGATATTTAACACAAATCGAACTGTATTCAGGAAGAGCGCTAGATTTTTTGCTTCGTTGTAATAAAATGTTACCAAGGTTGTAACCTCGCAAATGCATGCAAGTGATTTTTGGCGGCAAAAAGTATGCTGCTAACCAAGCAGTAAAATATCAAGTTTAATTTACCTTCTTAGTCTTAATCTACAAATATTTATCGTGGAATTAAAGTAGATATGTGTCAATATGGAAAACTCTACATTTCGGGAAAACTTACTAGTTTTACTTGTGGTACTGGATCATCTTAAATAATATCCATAAACCTAGAATGAAAGAGTCCCAATTTAAAATTCTATAAAGTTGCGATAAAATGTTTTAAATAAATATAAAATAAGTAAGTAATTAATTTGCCGCCATTTCCATTAGTCGGAAAAGTTTTCTTATAAAAAACGTCAATAAACTTACCCAAAATTAATTAGATCCTCCACACTTTTTTTGAACCACTTTACAATAAAAAAGGAATAAAAACTTTTTATATTCAAAACTTTTTCGAACGTTTTATTTTTTAAACTTCGAAGCAAACACGAACTTTTCCGGCCAGGCTACGCGATCGTGGCACCGAGCGGCGCGCGCGAATTCCAAAGCACGACTAACTTTAGTTTGTTGTTCCTAATGCTCCAATGCTTGTCTGATAGCAGAATTATGATATCATGTGCCATTATTTCATTGTCATTGCAGGGAAATTATTAATTACGCATCCACACGTCGGGATACTCAATTGGAGGAATTAATTTTGATTAGACTTTTTAATTTTTTTAACTGCACGTCTGCCATACAGAAACAAGTGCAGTTGTGAATCGCCTTGTACGGAAGAGGTATATTATGATGTATTCCACATTATGTTTTGAATTAGCTTTTGCATGTGTCTTGTTGCTATAAAAGAAACACGATATCGCGCGCGTGCCACCTTTTCTAAAACCGAGGTAACTGACTGAACGGGGTGCGAGAAACCCTCTTATGATATTTCCATGGTTTCACACTATCTTTTAACTAAATCGATTCAGTGGTTTTATTGTGAAAAGGTGACAGACCGACTGACAGATTAATTTTTAAGTAATGTATGAAATCAGCTTGAAACTGAATTTGATAACTCATCGCTCCTGTAAAAACAAGATTGTCGTTTGACCTTTGACATCAGATTTGTCAAGTTCTCAGGATAGGCTATTTGGACATAAAAAATAGTTTATATTGGGTTTTTCTGTTACTGCTGGTGATTTTTTATCACGGGAATATACGAGTACGTCACTCATCCGACACTAAGGGCGCGATAGATAAATGTGAGGGTTTGTCGAGTTATTCTTACTGGTGTAGAGTGGTGTACAGTTTCAGAGACATAAAATAGCGGACTTGTTGAATTGTAATTCCGAAATAATTTAATTTCGCATTTAATGTCGTAAGAGGCGAATAGGGTACGAATAAGACGAAACATCAGGCCTGCTCCCCAACCCGTCTGGCCAGCATAGGAAGAGTGTAGAGCAGGGTTTCTCAAACTTTCGACTCCACTAACCCCTGTTAAAGTTTCCAGGTGATAGCGAACCCCTCTAGCTAATTAAACCCCCCTCTCCATAAAGAAAATAATAAAATTGACTATTGAATAAAAATAAGGTTTTAATTTCAATAAAATAAAGTACCAAAGAAATGTTTTTTTGTGTTTTAAGTGATGTGTGCCTGTTTCTTGTCGCGATTTCGCGAACCTCCTGGCGTCGAATGGCGAACCCCTAGGCCCTAGGGATAGCATATCTTTCAGTAGGGAGTGTAGAATCCTGGAACATAAGTAGGTAATTTAGAGAGTCCGTGCTCTTTCAGTGGAGATTAAATGACATGTTATGTTGAAGTATATCGTGTATTAAAATTATCATCAAGATTGGTGCCACCGTATAATTTAATATTGAGTGACAGCTTGACTCAAGTCCCAACCATTGTATGTACTGCTGAAGTTAACATAAAAACAATGGCAGCCGTTTTTGGAGCATGTTGCCCATTGCTTCCTCTACGTTTATGGTGGACAACGCGCACGCTGAATTGCTATTTGTTCTTGACTAAGTATAATAAACATAATGTGTAGTAAAAATTGGCTAGGAATTTGATCTGTAGACTTCTAAAAACGATAGCAGATTTTCGGAATAGTCCTATAAAAGATACCCGATTGGGAGAATGTACTCCCACTCCACTGACTGTCCTCACCATAGGTTGTCTGGAAGAGATCGCTTCATAGCGATAAGACCGCCTAGTTGTACCTTGTGTGTTCCTTTTCTTTCTGTTCTTATCTTTGGTGTGCAATAAAGTGTATTTATTATTATTATTTCTTTATTCAATTTTCTTTCTTATTTTTATTTTTTTCTTTTTACAATGCAATTATCAAAAAATAAAAATACATTATAAAAACAAAAATCTTAAAAATAGTTAACCCGCTGGCAGCGGAGCAGGGCCCAAGCTACCGGNACTAGGTTATGCCTGTGCAAATACTCACCGTTAGCAAGATGCAAACAACCAGAAATTATATGCCTGAGTGACTCTCCGGGACGGTGGCATGCTCGACAAATGTCGACCGTACCGTCCTTCAAGATATATTTTCGGTAGTTGTTCGTCATCATTACCTCGTCAGCAATTGCACAAGCAAAACCCTCGGTTTCCCCGAAGAGGTCACCGAAGCGTAGCCAGTTCACCGAGGCGAGGAGGTCCACACCGGGACCTGTTAGGGCCCGATAGAACCTCCCATGCAGCTCCTTGCTCTTCCATACGTCCTTCCGATCCGCGACGCTCAGCACCTTTGGCTTGCGCCAGTTCTCGATCGCCAAGGAGAGCGGCGTGAGGCCTTTGTCAACTGCCACAACATCGCGATGCATTCCGCACTCATTTGTAAGGAAATTATTATTATTATTAATGTAAGGATCTTCCAAACGAAGTTAGGTATACCTTGTACCTAAAAATGATCAGATTTCCCCTTAACACTGCAAGGGGTTTGCTTAGTTTTAGCATAGTAGGTATAACTATCTTAACAATCGTGACAAACTGGCATGGGCATCTTAACGATTTGTATTATGTAGTAGGTATTAGATATAGTACACACGAACGATAGTTATCATCATTAAACAGTCTACCACGGTGGGCGCCATTTTCAGAAGTCATGTCTGCCTAAGACATAAATTACATTAGTGACTATTTGGTTTTAGTACATTAAAAATTAGTGAGTCGTTTTATTTTTCTACGAAAGCACTTTCATTTGTCAATCAAATCCTACACACTGTAGGCAGGGATATAAGATTGAAATTCGCGTAATAACGCGTAATACCCCAACCGCAACTTTTTGTTATGTGGTTAATAGAACGTAATATATAAAGTAACGTAGGTATTTCTCTGCGATGTGACAGTAGGTTAAGTATTTACATACATATTAAATGCTATCTCGGCTCTATAGGGATTATAAAGGCCCTTTTCCTTTTTAGTTACCGAGTGTTCGAACATAATGACAAACCGTTACTTACCCGTTTGATATCCATAAAAATAAGAGAGTACTTAACTCATCTCCTACTAATATTATAAATGCGAAAGTTTGCATGGATGTCTGGATGTCAACATGTTTGTTACTCTTTCACGCAAAAACTACTGAACGGATTTTGATGAAACTTTACAGTATTATTGTTTATAACCCAGAATAATATATAGGTTATAATTTATGACGATCTGTGACAAACAAAACTTTCTCGCGGGCGAAGCTGCGGGCAAAAGCTAGTACAGTTATAAATACGTACTACTAGTTACTACTGTTTCTACTAGTCTACTACTAGTTATTACTAGTCTACAAAGTAAGATAGAAAATAATTGATTAATACTTACATTTTCTAGTGTTTTCTACATTCACTCACTTGGCATTACATCGTGTTGGTCTCCTAGCGCTGATAAATAAGTGGGAGTAATATTGCACTCGTAAAAGCCATCTTCGTATTTTTTGACGTTCAATTAAGTAAAGATGCACATATTAATAAATATTGCATATATTAAATACTTACTACAAATACAAAAATACTTAGGTGCCAAAAAGTAGCAAATAAAAATAATACTAGCTCAGGTTACGTCGCAGGAGGAAGCTACGTAGAGTTACTTTAAATTAACTAAGGCGCGTGCTGTGTAAGAAATAATTAATGTAACGCATACAATATGAATAAATCGTTGCGGTTTTATTAGGATATCATAAAACCCTGTTAGGTATGAATTTTGACTCATACATTTTTGTATGACTGACGTCAAATTCGTGCATAATACATTTGACCCTTGATTTCCTTTATCATCAGATAGGTAACGTTAAGTCATACTGGATAGGTCATAAAGGTAGGTAGGTAGGCATAGGCATCAAAATACGATCGTCACATTTCAGCGTATCCTTGTACCTATTTCCTTGTATTGTATTTTTGTACCTAACTACTTATCTACAGTCATAATTAAGTCCATTCATGTACATCACAATATTTCAGGCAAACAAAACGCGCTGTGCACACTTATACTCGTAATTATCCACCTTCTTTCAGGTAGGTAATGCATTAGGTCTGGTTTCCACCAAAGCGGAATAGAGCGGAGATATCGGGTGGACTAATTTTTCTATAGATTTTTGGCGCAGTACGGAGCGGAGAAGAGAAGTGGAAACAATGAATTCTGATTGGTTATTCAAAACACTTCTTCTTCGTGGGAAAATTTTTTTTACGGGGAAAAAATTCGTTGAGTCGCATACCTACCCTGCGGGGACAGGAATATGTGGGGCTCACCAAGTCAGAAGGACGAGGCTTACCCACAAAAAAGACCGCCAAATCTGCGTGTTACGTCAACGCCTGAAAAAACTTGGTGTGAATGGTCCCTAAGGTGATAAATTCATTGTCAGTCTATAACCTAATCGCTAGACAATCTGGTGAAGATAGCTGGCAGCGGTTAGAAGAAAAAGCACAAGATTGTGCTTGTGGCGAAGTAGGCTGAAATTATGGACGAATTGGCTGAATTGGTCAAAATGAAAACGGTGTATCTTTCGTCTTTCGTTTCCCAACTAAAAGATGTTATCTACACTGTCGGATAGGGTCTGCTTTACTAGTTTTCCTGGATCTCCTCATTTCTGAATTAAATTCAATTTAGGTCATTCGCGGTAGTCCGACAGACGGAAAAACAATTAAGTACATGTTTCAGTAAGTAATTAAGGCTGGGTTGCACCAACTTACTTTAACTTTGACAAACGTCAAAAATCTGTCAAACTCCATACAAAAAGCACCGGTTATTGTCGGTCAAAGTTAGGTGGTGCAACTCAGCCTAAAAGTAAGTAAGGATTTTGACACAATTTTTGTGTGTATCATGATCATCAGTAGGTAGCAGAAGATAAAAGTTTCTATACGTTAACTTAGTTTGTATGCCTTAAAACTACTGGTAAAATCTTAAGCTGCATTCCTTATCTCTGACTTCTTTTTTTATTACTACAGCTAATTCTTAATCTGCCCGCAGCGGACGTGGTTTGTATCGCGAATTTCGCGATCTGAATGTATATGAGCACTTAAAGTCGTAAACAATGGCTGAGGATACGCCATGACTGC